CGTCGGTTATAACGAACTATAAATAGTGGCTCCTTTGAGTTCGTTACAACCGTAGTTTACTGTGTTCGTATTTAAAGGCGAGTGTCTTAGGAAGTGAATAATGTTGTATTTGTCGTTTGATCGGGACGCAAGCACGTTACTGAAGCATATAAAGGGTGATGCAGCCTTGGATCGGGGATCTGTTAGGAAAACACAATGGGAAAGCCCGTTTCTGTGTAGCGACAAGTCAGCATCAACATCGTTTATAGGGAGCGGCACAGAGGTGCGGTTACCACAGCCACTGGTATAGAAACTTTGTAAGTTCAGATAAATGTACAAAGCTTGACAATCAGATCAGTTTTGTAATGGAACCCACGCCTGGTTTTCTTACTGCCAATTTTGGTTGGTTATTTGTATTTTCTTGTCATTAATAATGCTAAATGCCAGTAAGATATTGAGTTCTTGTCAAACATGTCTGACCCTTTGCTTACAGATAGTCGCCTGTGTTGGACTCCGAACCTGTGTCACAACTGTTTTCAGCTCGCAGACATTAAGCCTCGGAGGAGGGAACTAAAAATTGTAATCTTGTCAGAAATATTAAATAACCTCTCAGAGATGATTGGTTGGTTGGTTTGTAGTTTAATGCCGCACTCAGCAATATTCCAGCTATATGACGGCGGTCTGTAAATAATCGAGTCTGGACCAGACAATTCAGTGATTAATATCATGAGCATCGATCCACGCAATTGGGATCCGATGACATGCATCAACCAAGTCAGCGAGCCTGACCACCCGATCCCGTTAGCCGCCTTTTACGACAAGCTAAGTCACCTTTTACTGCAAGCATGGGTTGCTGAAGACCTATTCTTCCCCGGAATCTTCACGGGTCTCTCAGAGATGATTGAACCTTTGAACATTGCATCGTGGTTCTGAATTGTGCCACTTTGGCCCGCTACGGGGCCTTCAGTCAGTGCTGACAAACCAACAGTCTTAATGAGGACAATATGGATTATATGTTTCTGGCACACCAAAGCGACGCAACTCTGCACGATTGAACCATTGAAAGTTGCATCGTACTTATTACTGGACTGACCTAGCAAAATTTGAATACCGTGAGTGAGTTCAAATTTCAGAGGGGGCACGGGTGGTCCAGTTTAAGGCGCCGTGATTCGCTGTGCAGAGTTGCGTCCCTTGGGCACGCAAGAAACCTATGATTGTGGGTTCGAGTCCCGGTTCGCCCCGATTATGTTTCTAGGTTTGTCGGCACCATACCCGTGCTCGTGGGTTTCACCGAAGTGGTAAACGTCTACGCCCTGTGTCACTTCGGGCTTTCCTCCCACATTATGCTGACACGCCGTGATATAACTGGAATACTGTTAAAAGCGGCGCTGAACCCAATTCACTCACTCACTCAAATTTCAGAATTTCAGCCATACTGTGGCCTTGCTTGAAGTTGTGTACGGTTTAGCGTTGTTCTGCGTGGGTTGCCTAGCTGATGTTGGTAAGAATGACAATAGACTGATTGATGATGCACAGTAGAAGAAAAACAGATTTGTACTTTTAAATTTAGACATAAAATTATAGAAACAGAAATTGGATGCCGATTAATTTTTCTGGCGCACATTGACGCTGAAAAATGGAGTTGCTCGCGTGTTACTTGATCTGCCTCAGACTACAAAATCACGCCAGGGATGTAGACTATTAATATTCCTATCTGATGGTGTAAATTTAACTGCAAATATTCAGACTGCATGTATCATAAACATGCATTTATTTAGTATTTCAAGACATTAGTAAAAAATGTTTTTAATTTAGCAAATGCGTAAAACCTCCTTCAGTTTGTGTTTTGCTGGAATGTTTATAGATAACAATATATCATAATTTCGGGCATATTAAGATTGAATAAGACAGATGTTCAAACATATCAGAATACATCGTCATTTAATTCTTTTGCTAGTTTTATGGTTCTCAGATCTTAAACATCGAAAATGCCAACGGAATGAAAAAATCAGAATTACCAGGCTTTTAACCGACGATGGGAAGGAGTGAGTGAGTATGGTTTTAAGCCGCTTTTAGCAATATTCAGCAGTATCACGGCGGGGGACACCAGAAATGGGTTTGACACAGTGTACTCATGGGGGGAATCGAACTGTGTCTTCAACGTGACGAGCAAACGCTTTACCTACATGGCTATCTCACCTTCCTCTAAAAAACAGAGACTTGGCGACGTGTACGAAGGGGAGTTAACTCTGCAAGTTATAATGGGGAACACTGTCGCAATTTTCATCGACTCCAGTTTACAACATTTTATAACAAAGTTTTAAATTTGACGAGCGGAAGTCAATTACAAATGTGTTTTTTTTAAAGAAAAAAGCTTCACAGCTTTGTTTCGTCAGAGATTAGAAAGTTACAGTGATAGCATTCAGCTTGCCGCGGAATGACACGACTGGTACCGTTATCTCTACCAACGTTAACACGAAATAACGTGGTGGCACGTGGTCCTGTGCACAGCCCACAGATCACAAATCAGGTGAGGTTTGATGGGTGACAACTTTAAGCAGGTCTTCGGCCCTGAACCCCCCCTCCCCTCCCCCCCTCCCCACGACTATGTTCGAAATGTGCCTCTATTCACCCAGCAGTGAGTGGGTACCCGGTAGGATGAGATGGTAATGTGGCTATCAACCGTCTAGCGCCTCACAGGCAGCTTGGGATGTATGCGCCCCAGGGAGCTGAGAATGAAATTTGAGTGCTCACTAATCCATTGACCGGGGTAATAATAGTGTATAGCGCTATGAGCATCCACTTGGTGAATGGAATCTGTCGCATTATAAATGCACTTAATATTATTATTTTTAATATTAAATCATGCATATGTCTCCCGATGTATTTGAGCTCAATTTAATGTATATTATTCTGAACATCACGACCCAACGGACGTGTAAGATCGTACGCTATCGTATTATTCATATGTGCCCTAAAGCGATCTAAACGACAGCTTTAATGTAAAATATTCACAAGCATAACTGTCGTGAATATTTGTAGGTGTTGTTTTTTCCCGCGTTTCTCTCCCATAATGCATCTCGGTGGTCGACCTTGGCAGAGAAGGAGACTTCAAGTGCCTCTTTGATGAAGCGACGCTATCATTCACTTTGGAAAAAAATGTCAGTGTACCAGGCCGACAATCCAATAATCACCTTTATAAATTCACCAACTCTCCCTTCTTGACACGTAATTTACCCTTGTTTCTGTCAATGATAAAGTGCAGCCATCTTGGAAATTGCCTTCTGGGAAATTACTTTATTGACAACAAATGAAAGGTTTACCACGACGTGGTTCTGCTATTAAGTTACCCGGACTTAAGAACGTCGAAGAGAAAACCCTGTTCGCAGCAATTGCGCACACGCACTGCAATTCACCATCTTTGTTTGTTTGTTGTTTGAACGCTTACTCGGCAGTATTACAGCTATATGACGGCGGTCTGTAAATAATCGAGTTTGCACCTGAAAATTCAGTGATTGATATCATGAGCATCGATCCACACAATTGTCACACAACCAGATCAGAGAGCCTGACCACCTTATCCCGTCAGTCACCTCTTACGGCAAGCACGGTTGCTGAAGATCAATTCTGACCAGAATTCACCATCTAGTTCCGTATATACACTAGCTTGACTTTGGAATGTTGTAGTCATCAAGTGAATCAAGATTTCGAAACGAGACACAATGGCCTCCTACCGTGACGCTATCGACGTCATTGCTCGCTGTGTCTATCCTTAACTCGCAGGATCTGTCGGCTGTTGGTCCGAATCAGGTCGATTATTATCCGTGCGGTGTTTCATCAAAATGACAAACGGCTTCATCATTTTTTTATACAATAGCAATTATCGGTTGTAGACTTATCTAGCACAATATCCTGAATTCAGCATACTTAGTCAGCGCTTCAAACATGTCTTTGAAAGGAGGGACCCATAACATATTATTTTCAGAACATCCATCATCATCATCATCATCATCATCATCATCATCATCATCGTCGTCGTCATCGTCATCCTCCTCCTCCTTATTATTATCATTATTATCTTAAAATCACAGTAAACCCAGTGGGTAGCTTGGGTTCAACGCCTCTTTGAACAGCATTCCAGTTTTATCAGGTCGTGTCAGCTTAAAGTGGGAAGACCAAACTGTTCCTTGTCTTTGACGTTAACCCACGAACAGTGCTGAGAATCCTGACATCCCTAAGGGACGCTACTATGTACAGCAAATCGCCGCGCATTGGACGATTGGGCTGAGGAATATTTACTTAAATCTTTTACAGTAGCAGAAATGAAACACTACGACGACTTCTGCAATGAGTGAGTGAGTGAGTGAATCAGTTTGAACAGTTTGTCAGTTATAGCACATCACGTCAGCTGGACGTGGGAGGAAAGCCCGAAGTAATGCAGGCTCTCGACGTTTATATAAGTAGTTATTAAATACCACATTTCGTGAAGCCCACTAGCACGGGTACACTGACGACAAACAGCGAATGTGTCTTTGACGACTATGTAGATATGGAGTTTATAGATATAAGTGCAATAATGTGTGTGGGCAGTGTGTTTGTGTGTGTGTGCGTGCGTGCAGTGTGTGTGAGTGCGTGTGTGCAGTGTGAGTGCGTGTGTGCACTGTGTGTGCGCGCGGTGTGTGTGCAGTGTGTGTGTGTGTGCTTGTACAAGTCCAGACTAATGCCGGTTTTGCAGTGCTGTCCCACTGAGACACCATGCCGCAGGTAAACATGAATACACAGTATACTGACTCCGAATGAGGCAGTCCTTGTTTTATCCCCTTTATGCCCACCGCAAGGCAGGGTAACAACAATTACCATCTTTTAACGTCTTTTTGTATGACGCGGCCGGAGATGACGGAACCACCGACCTTGCGCTCCACCCCCTAGACCAGGAGACGGTCGACAACTTGTGTAAAGGATTAAAGGAGCCGTAAAGGTGGACACACGTTTGTGCGATCAGGACATAAAAAAATACTTACTGATTCTGAGTGGGATTCCGGACAGTTCGGACTCTTCGGACACTCCAGTGTCTGGAAGGAAAAGAAGCAATTCTAAAGCTCACCAAGGCCCACTTGCACAAAGCGATCTTAGCGCCAAGACTACCGTAAGCCTATGTTAAAGTATGGGAGTTACGATCATCTTAGCGCTAAGATCTCTTTGTGCAAGTGGGCCCTGGACTTTATAGATCAAAGAAATAGATGAAGATGTTGACGGCAAAAATACACAGGTCAAACTAAAACCGTACACAAGACAAGTAGAGTGTACGTTTCTACACAACAGACACGCTCACAGTAGACTTATTTATCAACTAACACGTTGACGTATGATTCACCCTGAATATTTCAAACATGGCTGCCACGTGGAATACTGTAAGGGAAACTCGCGATCGTGTTCTCGCATTCTCGGAACTCGACCTTTGGCAACAAGCTAAATATGCCCAAAGTGCGAGAATGTGAGATCGCGAGAATGCGAGACTTCGTCAAAATCTAGCGTTCTCGCATTCCCCTGTTGTTGTTTTTTACATAGCACTTTTTGTCTAAAGTTGAAAACGCGAGAATGGATTTTTGGATAGGTTAAATTTCGCAAAACTCAACTTGTCAAATCAGGCCACGAAATGACGAAATCCCGCTAACGTGAAAACGTGACATTTCATTTTCTCGCGTTCTCGTACTTTTGGCAATTCACAGCTTGTTTCCGATGGTCGAGACCGCGAGAATGTGAAAAAGCAATAATGGCCCTTATAGTATTCCATACTGCTATGACAGATCACAACAAGCACGTTTAAATGACATAAAGGCTTAGATCATTCACGCAAATTTTCTGCTTCTTGGGCATTATGCATCAAATACTTCTTCACAATTAGATTTACAGTAAAATATAGTTGCGATTATTCAGAATCCAATAGCACTAAGAAATTTTTCAAAAATGTCATTATTCATTAAAAAAAGGTAATGTCTTCATAAAATAAAGATTCGAAAGTTTAGAGTCGTTTTGCAGGGCTCTAAATAAATTTCGGCTTAAAATTACACATTAATCTAGTCCAGTCGTGATGGTATTGCATAGTTTTTACGGGGTCACGTGTGGCCCTGTCGTCTAACGCCGCAGAGTTGCGTCCCTTGGGTATAACTGAATCCTGTGTGGGTTCGAATCCCGGAATCGCCCTTATTATGTTTCTAGGTTTGTCAGTACCATACACGTGCTCGTTCGTTTCTCCAAAGACGTCAACATCTAAGACCTTTACCACTTCAGGCTTTCCTCTAACATCAAGCGAAGCATGTTATCGATCCCAATTACGTGGATCGATGCTCATGATTTCAATCACTGGATTGTCTGGTCAGACTCGATTATTTACAGACCGCCGTCATATAGCTGGAAAATTGCTGTGTGCGGCGTAAAACAACAAACCAACCTACTACAAGCTGACATACCGTGACATAGGTTTATACTGTTCAAAGCGGCGGTAAACCGCACACTATATATAATAACGAAAGCATCTCTGTAAGCAGGTGATAACTATGTTGTTTTACAAGTCTGCTGTATACACCAACATGTATATAAAACCATATGCATAACATACTTGACCGCCTCCGTGGTCTAGTGGTAGAGCGTCCGCCCGGAGAGCAGAAGGTCCGGGGTTCGATCCCCGACCACGTCATACCAAAAGACGTTAAAAGATGGTACTTGTTGTTACCCTGTCTGCCGCTCGGCATTAAGGGGCTAAACAAAGGACTGGTCGGCTCGGAGTCAGTATACTGTGTCTGAGTGGGGTATTCATGCTAAACTATAAATCGGCATCAGTCCGGACTAGTACAAGCAGCCATACACACACACGTGCATGCACGTCGCTATATATGTGCAATAATCTTGGACGCGACCTTTAAACCCCATTTCACCTCACCCCATAACATACTGATATGGAATCATAACTCGGGTCAGTAACCATAGTAACTGTCTTATATCAATTTCCGTCTGTTGTTTTCACAGTTGGAAATAAAGTTAAAACTAAAAACTGGCTTTTCACTCGTTGTGATTACAAAACAATTTTCAAATTAAACTGGGAATTGAACTCATCCATATGCATTTCGTAGAGCGGTGGCTTGGGAGATGGTGTCGTACACCTAGCGTGCAATTGTCATCGCTCTACAATCACACAGAACAAGTTTTCAAATTGGTTAGAAAAAAATGCTCTTTTAACAGCAATTTGTGAGTAAAATAAACATAGTGTTAACAGTTTCTCTTCCATCTCAACACACGTGCCTAACTGTAATAATTTTCGTTGCCAATTTTCAAAAATTTCAAAAGTGTTATTATTTTACTTCGATACTATTTGTTCCTAACTCGGCGATTAATCTCTGTTGACAGTTGACATTGGCACATTGCAACCCCGAAAATTCGATTCATCCGTTGTTCTAAGAAGCGGAGTGCCGACATTCCATCACAGCGCCAAAATATAAACGTAAAATCCTGCGTGCAATTCTGCACTGCTCGGATTTACATAGTAAGGTTTGTTGGTTAATACCTACATAAGCACAAAAATTATACTGAAACCAGTTCTTTAGAAAACGTGACTAACGGTCCAAGGTCGAACGGGCCAACGTGAAAGTGAAAGACTTTTCGAGGATGCATGCATTGGTAGAAAATGGAGGGGGGGGGGGGGGGGGGGGAGCAGTCGTCTGAAGCGCCGCGATTCGCTGTACAGAGTTGAGTTGCGTCCCTTGGGCACGCCAGAAACCTATGGTTGTGGGTTCGAATCCCGGTTCGCCCCGATTATGTTTCTAGGTTTGTCAGCACCATACCCATGCTCGTGGGTTTCACCGAAGTGGTAAACGTCTAAGACCTGCATCACTTCGGGCTTTCCTCCCACATTAAGCTGACACGCCGTGATATGACTGGAATACTGTTAAAAGCGGCGTTAAACACAACTCACTCACTAATAGAAAATGTCATGCAAATAGTCGTATGTAGAACCATGCTCACCATGTTTGGACTGGCCATCTCCGTAATCAAATAGCGAGTCTTTGGGACCATAGTTCCTGCCAGATACGTGCGGCCCATGCGTGGACATCGTCGATGACGTCATAACCGGTAAGTCCGCCCCACAAGTCGTGACCTCTTCAAGGGGGATGTAACTTAGAGCCTTCGTGTTATTCACGACTGAAAATAAAAATATCCTAGTGATTTTAAGCCGTTTTGATGACCGACAATAAAAACAGACAAACGTGCATTGCGAACAAACCAGGAAGGAGGATTAACTGATTTTCTGTCGGTGGTTTCCTGGAGAGATCGTTCACAACGTTTTCTTGTTAATGAAGTCGTGAAATTAACATTTGTACATTTCATCTTCCCAGACATCAGCGTCACATTCTTCGACCGATGTCAAAAATAGGAAAAGTAACCTGTATGTGGTACTCGTTTTCAAGGATTCAATGAACTCATTATAAATGACAGTAGTATATTTCAGTCACAATAATATCACGGAATGGTTAAGGCCCTTCCTCAGTATATCGACCCTGAAGGGACACGTCCGACCGACCACAGACGTGATTTAACCGAGCTTTTGTCATTTGATGTCTATTTGTGCTGGCGCATGACATACAGTAACTGGTCCCCCATGAGATCTAAAGCACCAGCATCATACTCAGACATCTAAAGGACTTTCTGTAAGCACAACGTGCCTCCTATGTTTATAGTTGCATCTCATAAATACGTCCAACAGACCTCTCAAATCAAAACTCATAACAATCGGACGTTTATTTGATAGAATACTTACTTTGGGCACGCAAGCGAGATGGCGGGGCCACAAGTGAGGTTTAACGTCACAACAAGGTGGACGCTCTGTCTTAAAATGTATATAAAACTTCAGCATGAAACTCACATTAATAACACGGGTCTTGGTAATGCAGTTTATGGCTCTAGCACATCTGATTAATCATTACTGCGTCTCGTAACAACGAGGAATACAATACACCACTGATCTTGATCGCCACCACGAATATTTCGTGTCACGGTCGCGATCGTCTTAACGTTTGATGCAGACTACAAGATGACGCTAAGATGAGGTGAGGTGAGGTGAAATTGGGTTTAACGTCGCGTCCAAGATTATTGCACTTATATAGCGACGTGCATGCACGTGTATGTGTGTGTGTGGCTGCTTGTACTAGTCCGGACTGATGCCGATTTATAGTGCTAGCTCACTGAGATACCATGCCGCAGTTTAACATGAATACCCCACTCTGACACAGTATACTGACTCCGAGCCGACCAGTCCTTGTTTTAGCCCCTTAATGCCGAGCGCCAGACAGGGTAACAACAAGTACAATCTTTTAACGTCTTTTTGTATGACGCGGCCCGGGATCGAACCCTGGACCTTCCGCTCTCCGGGCGGACGCTCTACCACTAGACCACGGAGGCGGTGGATGACGCTAAGATGAACCCAAGGCGACGGTAAGATGACGGCTAGATTTCAGTTAGATGACGTCAAGATTAAGGTTAGAAGACGGTTAGATTTCGGCTAGATGACGGTTAGATGACGACAAGATGACGGTAAGATGACGGCAAAATGACGGCTAGATGACGGTATGATGACGGCAAGATGACGGTTAGATGACGGCTCGATGACGGTAAGTTGACGGCTAGATGATGGTAAGATGACGGCAAGCTGACGGCTAGATGACGGCTAGATGGTGGCTAGATCACAGCAAGATGAGTGAGTGAGTGAGTGGTTTTATGCCGCTTTTAGCAATATTCCAGCAATATCGCGGCGTGGGACACCGATGGCGGTTAGATGACGGTAAGGTGACAGCAAGACGACGGCTAGATGATGGTTAAATTACGGTTAGATGACGGCAAGATGACAGTTAGATGACGGTAAGATGACGGCTAGATGACGGTAAGATGACGGTTAGTTGACAGCTAGATGATGGCTAGATGACGGTAAGATGACGGCAAGGCGACGGCTAGATGACGGCAGGATGACGGCTAGATGCCAGCAAGATGACGGCAAGACAACCATACCATGGCGGCGAGATGACGGCAAGCTGACGGCAAGCTGACGGCTAGATGACTGCTAGATGACGGTTAGATGACGGTAAGATGACGGCAAGACGACGGCAAGATGATGGTTAGATGACGAACAGAGTGAGTGAGCGAGTGAGTACTTTTTAAAAGTAGGGTAAGTTGAAAGAAGGCTCGACTAGACTTAACATTAAGACGGAAATACGATCCTGGTTTACTATGCATACAGTAAGTACAGAACGAAATGCCGAGTTCGGCGAAACTTTAACAAAACAAAGTCAGTTATGAAAACCGAATTTTCATAATCCGAAGTAATCGGTTATGGTTTGAGATAGACTGGAGCAGTTTCCCTTGTGTAAAAAATATCATGAGGCTAATGTATCACATAATTTTAAACAAACTAACAAAATGCAACCAATATAAATTTGAAACATTGTTCTAAAATGTTTTAAAATGGTAAGAGGTAACTCCCCTTGATACATACACACTGCCCAGTCTCTGTTTTTCCAGGGGCGATAGCCTAGTGGTGAAACAGTTCGCTCGTCACAGGGGAGTTCGATTCCCCATATGGGTAAAATGTGTGAAGGCCATTTCTGGTGTCCCCCGCCGTGATATTGCTGGAATTTTGCAAAAAAAGGGGCGAAAACCACACTCAATCACTCACTCACTCACCAGAGATTTTCTTGCGTTCAGAACAGACCGAGGAAGAGAATATAACACGATTCTTGTTATTTGAAAATCAATTTGAATCGGAAACAGGGACTGCTTCAAGTCTAGGTTCAGCATTGCCCAGGGGGCACGGGTGGCCCAGTCGTCTAAGGCGCCGCAATTCGCTGTGCAGAGTTGCGTCCCTTGATTGTGGGTTCGAATACCGGTTCACCCCGATTATGTTTCTAGGTTTGTCAGCACCATACCCGTGCTCGTGGGTTTCACCGAAGTGAGTAAACGTCTGAGACCTGCATGACTTCGGGCTTTCCTCCCACATTAAGCTGACACGCCGTGATAATACTGGAATGTTAAAAGCGGCGTTAAACCCAATTCACTCACTCACTCAGAGCCAAATCTGTAATGAGTGAAACTTGGCCCATCCGAGGCCTGAGTCGTTGTTAAAAAAAACCCAGGTTAACACATTTCGAGACGAATGAAATACTTTCGAACGAATAATAAAGAAATAGATATAAGGGACACAGTCGGACTCTAGATAATCGAAGTTTTATGATACGGAGAGACGAAGCTGGGCGAAACATTGCGGTAGGTAGCCCCGTGGTAACAACGACCCATCGTCACGCCTAGTACCCAGGTTCAATCCCCTACTAATATACATTGTACATCCGATTATTGGTGTCCCGGTCGTGATAGGCACCCACTCACCCCAAGCAGAGCTGACACTAAGAATTGCGCTCACGGTATAACACGGTAACAGTTAGTTGAACCATCCAAATAAACGCGCCTCTTTAACGCCGGGGGGCGGTCGGGTAGCCTATTAGTTAAAGCGTTCACTCGTCACGCAGAAGACCCGGGTTCGATTCCCGACATGGGTACAATGTGTGAAGCCCATTTCTGGTGTCCCCCGCCGTGATATTGCTGGAATATTGCTAAAAGCGGCGTAAAACCGTACTCACTCACTCACTCTAACGCTGACTCCGACCATTTCCAAGTAAACATCACCTACCGCATCCATGACGTCCACAAGAAGATGATGGATATGACGTGCGGACGACACATAAACTTGTAGAAACATATTACTTACATAGTCCAGACTGGGTTGTCTCTTTCAGTGCCCCATTAAGTTTCTCTATCTTTTAAATCATGCCAAGTAGGATGTGTAACTGACATTTGTATATGATAATATATAAAATCATAATATCCTTACACAATACCTGTGTCTTTGATCTTTCAATAATTCTGACAGACATACAGCGCCAACACTCCGACGATTCTCTAATCAGGCAGCTGTTGTTTTAAATGATTAGGTATAATAGTCAGCCAGCCTTGTATTAATACCAATCATCTTCCTGTGATTGATAGGCAAGATCTTCTGCGCTCGTTTAAGGTAAAAATAAGTTAACAACTGTCTACGTTGCTAATCACGCCATCGACCGTTAACTGTTTAGATGCTGCTGTTTCTGGCTGTGCCGCCATCTTGCACTATCCATCTTCCTGACAGTGTCAAAGCTCTCTGGGTTGCCTTCTCTATGGTGCAGTGGATAGAGCGTCTGGCATAAGAACGGAATGGCGGTGGTTCGATCCCCGGCAGCGTCATATCCAAAAAGACGCTAAAAGATGGTACTTGTTTTTATGTTTTTCGTCTGCCTGGCGCTCGGGATATTGTGGACAAAATAATGACTAGTAGGTTCGGAGTCAGTATACTGTGTCTGAGCGGGAGTGGAGTATCAGAGGTGAACCGGGACATGGTATAAAAGTGGGCCGTTTAACTGGCATCAGTCCACACACACGCATGCACACGTCGCAACGTTAGTGCCGATGTTATAACGCGAGGTTAACTCCTATTTCAATTCAATCGCCTTACGACAGTCGAGGCGCTTAGTGTTCAGCCGATCTTAACTCCAATGCTCCAACAAAGACACATACGGAGGCTGTAGCTCTCAGATCGCCTTGGGTTTGGTTCGGATTCTACGTCGCTTTGGGTAACTTCGTACCTCAGCACTATGTTTTGTTTGTTTGTTTCTTTGTTGTTTGACGCCGCACTCAGCAATTTTACAGCTATATGACGGCGGTCTGTCAATAATCGAGTCTGGACCTGACAATCCAGTGATTGACATCATGAGCTTTGATCCACGCAATTTGTTTACGATGACATGCATCAACCAAGTCAACGAGCTTTATCACCCGATCCCGTTAGTCGCCTCTTACGACAAGCAGAGTCGCCTTTTACGGCAAGCATGGGTTGCTGAAGACCTATTCTACCCCGGATCTTCACGGGTCTCAGGACTATGTACTACTGTTGAAATCGAACCCGGGTCTTCGGCGTGAAGAGCGAACACTCAAAACACAAGACTACCCCACCGCCCACTTCAAGCGAGTTTGCGAAACTTGTACAATTATTCCTATCATGGCTGTGGAATCTCCACACTAATTCAGCCCGGGGCACCGACAGACGCTTCATCCAGATGCAAATGTAATCTATTTATCGTTCCAGGCTTGTCTGTTGACAGATTATCCTACTGCATAGTTGGATCAACACTGACGAGGTCCAACATGCAGCTGTGTTTTACCTGCACGCACGGGTTTAGCGTCTTGCGAGGGCTGCAATTGTGGCCTTGTTGACGTGCAACGTGGAAGGGGTCTTTCGCTAGACCCCCGGACCATCTCGAATAACAAGTCAGACGTGAGGAATACACTTGTTCCAAATTTCAAATGCAGTATTGATTGTGGTAGTTTGATTTAATTGTGGCAGACAATTCATTGTCTGCGATAGTTCATTATGACTCTGATACATCGTTTTGATCATGGTAGTTCATTATGACTGCGATGATTCATTATGACAGCGGTAGTGCATTATGACTGTGGTAACTATTTGTGACTGGGGTGGTTCATTATGACTGCAGCAGCTAATTGTGCCTGCAATGCCATTAAAATAAGATCTTAGTTCATGAGGAAATCCCATTACGGGTCACGTCAGAACGACCTTTCATCCGACCAATCAGAGCGTCGCTTACCAGATCGGGAAAGTGACGGTCGGAATGTGTTTACTTATCGTGCAACATTGAAACATTTAACACGGGGTATACCGAACGAAGTTTACGCGCTTTGCGACTGAACATCTCTTGCTTCAGTGGGATGAACATTTGAACGGAAGAGACTTTATATTACCCGTGGGAAGTACTGCCATACAATTAAGGCCATCTGTTAACCATTCAAGAATGTTCTTTTGTTCATTTTCAATTTTTTAAATTTCATTTTAAGTTATTTTTACAATATATGTTTCGAGGCTCAGGCGCTAGTGAGACACTAGTGCCGAAAGCTCGAGAAAGCTGCATTCTGATTGGATAATGTCGATTTCTTGTGAGTCATTCCATTGGTCGGTCAAAGTTCGCGAAAGGTCGGCCTGACGTGACCCGTAGTGGGATGTCCTCAGATCTTTGTTGAGCGGCAACGAGAACCAAGATCTGCTTTTAATGAGAGTGTTGTGAATGCGACAGATAATTGTGACTGCGTTAATTTAACGTGACTGCAGTAATTCATATGAACTACAAGAGTTCATTACTGGGGGTACTTTCAAGTAAACTCGGAAGCAGCCCATAAGCCGGGATTTCCCCAATGCCTCCAAAATATTATATAAACATTCCATATAATTCAAGTCCGAAAACATGACTTCATGACCTTGAACTAAATCGAGATTATTTAAAATAAACCAATTACATGTCGCGAGGGTGACCAAGTAAAAGTGCAACAGTAAATGTCAATGGATGATGCAAACAGGTTTCACAATAACATCAAAGGCCTTGACCTTGACCTTGACCTTGGCCTTGGCTGGCCACCAAGATTAGTGTGGCGGGATATCCATATATCAGTAGTTAAATGCAGATGAATAGTGTAGAGGTAACCATACCTGTACAGCAATGTTTTACAAAAATACTGACCTTGACCTTGACCTTGACTTATCTTAACCAAAATCATTTCTAATCAGGGTTCTACCACAGTGAGGGAATCTGTCAAGTTCGGTGGTAAATGCATTAATTACATTTTAAAAAACGTTTTAGTATGATTTTTTCATTCGCTTGACCTTGACATTGGACCTTCTCATACCTTTTGCCAAACGTATTCCCAAATCCTATATGGAAGAAATCAGTTGATTAATAATATCTAACATCAACAATCTTTCTGTAACGGACACTCAGTAGAAGAAGTTTCGTCGACGGCGGTAAAATTCCGACAAAACCTAACAACAACCCATGGGGTAGTTTAAGACAACGTGATAGCAAGAGTTCAACTCTATCGTGGTGAAAGCAAGATTGATCAATACAGTCGCAAAAAGTAGCAAAATTCGAGAAAACAATTGAAAGCTCACCTGTATAGGAGACCAAGAACCTGTCGGAGAGGTCTTCAATGGCAGGAGGCAGGAAACTAGTGATGTATACATCGCCGCAGGATTCTATCTTCTGATTGACCTTCTTCAAGTCACAGAAGGATCTGATGCGGGAGCTCTTAGTTCGGCATTCTGTATAGCGGACCTGCAGAAACTGGGTGTTACAGTTCGGCATTCCTGCTTTTCTGTATGCGAGATGAACAGTGACCATGACCGTAGTACCCGTATGTTGCCTTATCAGCCAATAACATTGTCTGGATGGCATCCCGGAATCTGTGGTACTGATGTACCCAGGGTTCATCATCACTCCAAAACGACTGGTCAGTTCCTTGTAGTTCCGGTCGCACGAATTTTCTATCCTGTGTCCTAGAAGATAAATACGTTTAGACTTTATTGAACAACCAACCAACCAACCAACCAGCCAGCCAACCAACCAAACAACCAGCCAACCAACCAACCAACCAAACAACCAGCCAACCAACCAACCAACCAACCAACCAAACATCCAGCCAACCAACCAACCAGCCAACCAACCAGCCAAACAAACAAACAACTAACAAGCAAACAAACCGAAATGAGGAGCCAAACAATTTGTTTCCAGAGAAATTTATTTTACATACTATTTTCTTTTCTGATGCAAAATCATTTTGTGCAGCATTTCCTGGAAAAAGAAATTTTTGTCAAAACAATTTACTTGGATCTTACATACATCATTGGTGGCGGTGAATTATTCCAACCCGGAAACAAGACATGGAAATACAACGCATGCGCTAAATAGTGTTGTAATTAGAAGTTTCGTATCCTAATCAACGCGACAGTACGGTGTACTGGTCCAAATGTCATGCTGGCAAATGCCGGATGAAGCGCTAATACAGTTGTCCTAGTTCCCCCGCTTATGTTTCTAGGTTGGTCAGCTCCATACCATGCTCGTGGGTTTCACGAAACGAATCACCGAGTTTCCCTATAGCTGCTACCACCCACCGCCACAAAGTGAGGCGGACGTATAGGAATGAGTGCTGTACGTACGTCCGGCAGTCACGTTTCGTTTGCAGGGCATTACTCAAAGACCACCACCCCAGCACCACTCCAAGTCCCACATTTGGAGTCTCAAATCTTCATCCTCGGATCCTAACAGGTCTACACTGAGCATAATCTTTGTCGTAGGACACAATGTAGTATCCAGGTAGGAGAAATGTATTACGACACAAGCTAGGAGATATTCCCAATTTAGAACTGATGTTCTGCCAGTTGTAGCTATCAACATATCTCGCACCCAATGCTTGTGGTAGAGCCGAAAATGTTTGTTGTAAGAGGCAACTAACGGGATCGGATGGCTCGCTGATTTGGTTGATGCATGTCATCGTATCTCAATCGATGATCGACGCACATGATATCAATCAATGAATTATCTGGTCTAGGATCGATTATTTAAAGACCGCCGTCATATAGCTGTAATATTGCTGAGTGCGGCGTTAAACAACAAACAAACAACCATTGTCATATCTGTTTACAGTTTCAGCAGCAACTGATGAAGCACATGGCTCACACATCAAACAAGGTCGTGAAGCCTGATTTGGGATATCATCAGTAACAAGCAGAGGAAGGAACAATAAACTGTCAAAAGTTGTACAAATAAACCCCTTCCTTCCAAGGGGTCACGGGTGGCCCAGTCGTCGATGGCGCAGTTATTCGATGTGCAGAGTTGCGTCCCTTTGGCATGCCAGAAACCTATGATCGTGGTTCGAATCTCAGGTTGACTTGATTATGTTTCTAGGTTTGTCAGCACAATACCCGTGAGTTTGTCAGCTCGTGGGTTTCACCAAAGTGGAAACGCAACGCACTTACTAGTACAGCTGCATATAAAAAAGTGATGTATTTAGTATGAACCCACTTGTTCAAATTGGGGTAGCCTAGTGGTTAATGCGTTCGCTCGTCACGCCGAAGACCAGTTTTCGATTTCTCACGCAGGTACAATGAGTGAAGCCCATTTCTGGCCGCCCCGCCATGATATTGCTAGAGTATTGCTAAAAGTGGCGCAAAACCACACTCACTCACTCAAGTCGAATATGACTACGAAAATCAAGCCATATCACAGTTCATTAAATAATCGTGTCCAGACACACCACTAGCCGAAAACATGAGTCAGTGAGTGCGTTTGATTTTACGCCGCTTTTAGCAATACTCCAGCAATATCAAGGCGGGGGACACCAGAAATGGGCTTCACACATTGTACCCATGTCGGGAATCGAGCCCGGATCTTCAGTGTGACGAGCGAATGCTTTAACCACTAGGCTACCCGACCGCAAGTCACCGAGCCTGGTCACCGATCCTCTTACTCGGCCCTTAAGATCAGCATGGGAAACTGGGGTACAACTCCACCCCAGAATCCCCACGGGCCACACTTTCAATATCATTACGACAGATATACGTGTCTAAACCAGCTCACTATGATAACGAGATTTCAACGAGTCCGCAAGTGAGGTCTCAAAGCTACTTTGAACTGTATGACAGTTATCTCCATGCGTTGACGCTTGGCTGGTATGTTAATAGCTCCTGGAGACATATTATTGTTTTGCGCTGAAGCCTTATTTTTTGTAATTCATTACAACTATGCAAACCTTTTGATCAAGCGAAAGTAGCAGTTAATTACCACACTTCGCATTCCAAAGTCTACACAAAGGAACACACTACTTTCATATGCATCTCTCACTGGCAGAGTCAATTCTCCTTCACGCCCTGGGTGGTTTAATGATCGTTAGAAAAACACCGAATGGCGATCCATATCATATTAATTATCCATAACTGTCGAAATGACCGGGGGCTATTGTGATTAACTTGCTGTTTCGATGCGTGCATCTCTGTTCTTGTAATAAATAATTCGACACGGCGACTCTATCAGAAACGCGAGGACGCTCGAATAAAATTTACGTCATTAAATTCAACGTCTCACGAGGTTTGAGTAGGTCAAAGTTATCGTCCTTTCTGCATCTCGTTTCCAGAGGAAGGTGCTCGCGTTTATATTGGATGGAGAAGCTCCTCTTTTCAATATGCCAATAAAAAAATAATGTAAAAAATCCGAGATAAACTATCAAATAGTGATGATACCAGGTGTTCGCGAAAAGGTGAGTGAGTCCTGACCCACCTGTGGCACATGTCACAAACACATGCAAAGGCAAGTCAGTTGTTCACCCGTGAATACACGGGGATATGCGGTACAAGTCAAAGTTTGTTTGTTTGTTTGTTGTTTAACGCCGCACTCAACAATATTCCAGCTATATGACGGCGGTCTGTAAATAATCGAGCATCGATCCACGCAATTGGTATACGATGACAAGTCAACGAGCCTGACCACCCGATCCCGTTAGTCGCCTCATACGACAAGCATGGTCGCCTGGGGTGCTACAAGTCAAAGTAGATCATTTTTGTCAAATTTGGAAACGCCCTCCACATGTCTACCGGTCTACCTATAGGCATGACCTGAGTGAAAGAGTGAATTTGAACAGTATTTCAGATGTATCTCGTCAGCTTGAAGAGGGTGGAGACATTTGCCACTTTGGCGAAAACCACGAGCACGGGTATGGTGCTGACAAACTTAGAAATATGAACATATAGTGAAATCAAACTGGGATTCGAACCACGATCAAAGGTTTCTGGCATTCCTAAGGGGCGCAACTCTGCACATTGAATTGCACTGCCTTAGACGACTGGGCAACGCGTGACCCCTTGGCGTCACTTGAACTACTTAACCTGAAGTTAAACCTACCAAGGAAAGGCTTTATTTGTACAGCTTTGGACAGTTTATTGTTCCTTCCCCTGCTTGCAACTGATGATATCCCAAATCAGGATTCATGGCCTTGTTGTGTGATATATGAGACATGTGCTTCATCACCAGCTGCTGAAACTGTACACAGATTTGTTACGGGCTACAACTTGCCATGCTGGACCAGTAATTCGTTCTTAAATGGGAATATCTCCAGGTAATATCGTCAATAGATTTCACTTCCAAGGTTACAAATTGTGGTCAGTCTAGATCCGTTTGAGACTGGGAGTAGTGTTGGGAATGGGACTGGTCTTTGAGTTATTCTCCGGAAACAAATCGTGACGGACGGACCGGCGGACAGCACTCATTCCTAGACCTTCTTCCCAATTCGCGGCGGGGGATAATAGGAGCTAAAGGGAACCTCGGTGATTCGTATCCTGTCTAGACTAAGGGACGCAACTCTGCATAACAAATTACGACAACATCGATGACTGGGACATGCGAGCACCCATGTCCTTAGAGAAAGCTACACTTGATTAGATTTGTACAGATTTACGCCATGACTCGATCACCACACGAGATGACATTAGTAGATAGGTTGTCTTGATGTGAATTTCTATTAACGTGGCTGAAAAACACGGAGGCGTGACTTGAATCTCCAACGAAATGCTCTGCACGGCTTCATTTTGAAGTGGCAATCTTAAAGACTTCTAGCTCCATGTCCTTGATAAACTGTATGCTAATTTGATTTCACCCTGCACTAGATACATGCATATTTCATATGTAGATTCGCCAAAACAACGAACCTGTTTTTAAAGTCGCCATATTTGTTCTGAAACCGACGCAGCCGTGTTTATGTGATGTTCAAAACACCTGACCAAAGATTTCAGAGGCGTCACATTATTCTTAACCAAATGTCACAACAGCTTTCGTAAAACAATACCGCTTATCCCATGGGTTAAAGGTTCACACGAGCGAATAGTGCAACACGGGCGTAAACCCATTAGCTGTGATAACCAAGATATTATTAACACAAAATGTCCCCCGAGGCTGATGAAGGTACCCCCCATGGTGATACGGGATTAATTACCTGGCTCACGGGAAGCACGAGGTGCCCGTGCTACAACTACACGTGCCGCACGCGCTGTATAAATATTGCTGTGGTGGAATGTTGATGAGCGGGCATTGGAAGTTGAACGATAACAATATTCATCATGGCTGTCCGGTTTGGCCCTCTGGGAACATCTGTGTTGTCATTTGAGGAAACCTTACACAGACTTGTAAATGGAAATCGCACTGATAGACAATTATTGGATTTTAACGGTGCTGAATGCAATTCCAATGTGTTTGCAAGGGTCGGTGTTCTTTGTCAGCGCAGTGGGTCAAATAGAACGATGCGATAAATGTAGCAAATCCATGGGTAGGTAAACAGATTACGACAAATCAAGAGTTATAGAGTCCTTTGCCGATCCTTCAGGACAATAATGCCTTAGGCCTGATGAATTAGACCCCCGCTACGCAGCCCCGGGGCTGGCAAGGTGTTGTTCGAGAAGGCGATGGTTGTCCACCATTTCTCTTGATAAGCACTGTTCAAAGGAAGCTTGGCAAACACGCCGGACAATCTCCTTTGTATTCTTTTCAACTCAGGTGTAATCATTCTTAGTAAAATTTGTTTGTTATTTGACCAGAAAGAAAAGGTGATTATGTGGAGGTCATTTAGGTCATTGAGTCCTGGTTGACTGCTTGTGAATGTATTTTACACGTGTTGGTAATAGGCAGCTATATCAGGGTGGGGTGCAAATAGGTGATTCCAGCCCGTGGTTGATCGCATGAGCAGCGACCCACGCCCTAGGGGCATATAGTGAGAGAGTCAGTTGGGTTTAACGCTGCTTTTAACAGTATTCCAGTTATATCACGGCGTGTCAGCCTAATGTGGGAGGAAAGCCCGAAGTGATGCAGGTCTTAGACTTCGGTGAAACCCAGAAACATAATCGGGGCGAACCGGGGTTCGAACCCACAATCATAGGTTTCTGGCGTGCCCGAAGGACGCAACTCTGCACAGCGAATCGCGTCTCCTTAGACGACTGGGGCACCCGTGATGAAATTAAGACAGAGATTGCCACCCGCACTTGGACTGGACCGAGGTTGGGACTGAAACTGGCGACTAAGACTGGAGACTAAGATTCAGACGGTTGGGATCGACACTGACTCTTAGACTTGGACTGGGACGGGGGCTGGGACAGAGACTTGGACTTGGACAGAGGCTGGGACTGAAACTTCTACTTGGACGGAGGCTTGGACTGGAACTTCGACTTGGACGGGGGGCTTGGACTGGAACGTCGACGTGGACGGGGGCTGGGACTGAAACTTCGACTAGGACGGGGGCTGGGACACAGATTTGGACTTGGAGGGGGGTCTGGGACAAAGACTAGGACTTGGACGGGGTCCGGGACAAAGACTTGGACGGGGGCTATTACAGAGACTTGGACTTGGACTTGGAGGGGACTGAGACAGAGACTTGGACTTGGACGGGGCTGGGACAGAGATTGGACTTGGACGGGGACTGAGACAGAGACTTGGACTTGGACGGGGCTCGGACAGAGATTGGACTTGGACGGGGACTGAATCAGAGACTTGGACTTGGACGGGGGCTATGACAGAGACTTGGACTTGGACGGGGGTTGGGACAGAGATTTGGACTTCCATTAGGAACATGATCATATGTCAGCTGCAATTGTGTGATTAAACAAGGCCACGTGGGCAGTCGAACATATGTTCTAACTAGGTAGATCATATAACCCAATACTTACAGAGCAAGTATAATCCACATACTTACAGAGCAAGTATAATCCACATACTTACAGAGCAAGTATAATCCACATACTTACAGAACACGTATAAAACAATACTTATAGCGCAGGTATAATCCACATACTTACAGAGCAAGTATAATCCACATAATTACAGAACAAGTACGATCCACATACTTACAGAACACGTATAATCCACATACTTACAGCGCAAGTATAATCCACATACAGCGCAAGTATAATCCACATACTTACAGAGCAAGTATAATCCACATACTTACAGCGCAAGTATAATCCACATACAGCGCAAGTATAATCCACATACTTACAGAGCAAGTATAATCCACATACTTACAGCGCAAGTATAATCCACATACTTACAGAGCAAGTATAATCCACATACTTACAGCGCAAGTATAATCCACATACTTACAGCGCAAGTATAATCCACATACTTACAGCGCAAGTATAATCCACATACAGCGCAAGTATAATCCACATACTTACAGAGCAAGTATAATCCACATACTTACAGCGCAAGTATAATCCACATACAGCGCAAGTATAATCCACATACTTACAGAGCAAGTATAATCCACATACTTACAGCGCAAGTATAATCCACATACTTACAGAGCAAGTATAATCCACATACTTACAGCGCAAGTATAATCCACATACTTACAGCGCAAGTATAATCCACATACTTACATAGCAAGTATAATCCACATACTTACAGAACAAGTATAATCCACATACTTACAGAACAAGTATAATCCACATACTTACAGAGCAAGTATAATCCACATACATACAGAACAAGTATAATGCACATACTTACAGAACACGTATAATGCACATACTTACAGAACAAGTTTAATCCACATACTTACAGCGCAAGTATAATCCACATACATACAGAACATGTATAATCCACATACTTACAGCGCAAGTATAATCCACATACCTACAGAACATGTATAATCCACATACTTACAGAGCAAGTATAATCCACATACTTACTGGGAAAGCAGATATAAGCACATACTTACTGAATAAGAAACTTGAATACTTACTTTGTAAACAACTTTAATCCATATACTTACTTGGGAAGCAAACACAATCCACACATTGGGTAACAACTTTAATCCACACACTTACTGGGCAAGCAACTTTAATCCACATACTTACATGGGAAAGCAACTTAAATCCACATACTTACATGGGAAAGCAACTTTATTCCACACACTGGGTAACAACTTTAATCCACACACTTACTTGGCAAGCAACTTTAATCCACATACTTACATGGGAAAGCAACTTTAATCCACATACTTACATGGGAAAGCAACTTTAATCCACATACGTACATGGGAAAGCAACTTTAATCCACATATTTACTGGGCAAGCAACTTTAATCCACATACTTACATGGGAAAGCAAGTTTAATCCACATACTTACTGGGCAAGCAACTTTAATCCACACACTTATTGGGCAAGCAACTTTAATCCACATACTTACTGGGAAAGCAACTTGAATCCACATACTTACTGGGTAAGTAAATTTAATCCACATACCTACTGGGTGAACAACTTTAATCCACATACTTACTGGGTAAGCAACTTTACTCCAAATACTAACTGGGTAAGTAACTTTAATCCACATACTTACTGGGTTAGTAACTTTAATCCACATACTTACTTGGTAAGTAACTTTAATTCACATACTTATTGGGTAAGCGACTTTAATCCAAATACTTACTGGGTAAGCAAATTTAATCCACATACCTACTAAGAAAGTAACTTTAATCCACATACTTACTGGGTAAGCAGATATAATCCACATGGACGTTTCTCTTTGACTTGTCGTGATGGTTGCAATATTTTGGCATCATCATCTTCAAACCAGAAGCTGCGCATGCATCCTGGCTTTCACAGAGCGTATACAGGGACACGTAGGTCGGCCAGGAACACGGCGACACACCGTTGAGACAGCGTGCTCCGACAATATGTATCACTCCGCCATTGTGGCACTGTAGACCCTTGTTATCGGGGTGGCAGATGTTGGATTTGCACGGGTGGCTGATCTTTGCTGAAATAAAATGAATGACTATAAAAAGCAGGAAGCAAATATGTAGGAGGATGCGACAATGTGTATGGGTGATTGTGTATTTAGGTGTTGAGTGATCAGCTTTATTTTTAATAATATTTCAGTATTTATGTGGGAGGAAACTACCCAGGGTGTAGGTCATGGACGTTACCACTTTGGTGAAAAAAATCACGAACATAGGATGGTGCTAATAATCATAATCAAGGCGAATCTAGGATCATCGAATCCTGGCAAGCTTAAGGGGCGCAACTCTGAACAGCAAATTGCAGCACCTTAGACGACATGTGGTGATGTCTGTATTGCGTGTCGATATTGCCGCTGCGACGTAACTTAGCTCAAACTGATGTTATATATTCATGGCCACGGTTTGAGTGAGTGAGTGAGTGAATTTGGTTTTAAATTGTTTTCAGTAATATCACTGTGTGTCAGCTTGGTGTGGGAAGAAATCCCAAAGAGATTCAGGATTTAAACGTTGAAACCCATGACCACGGTACGGTGCCGACAGACCTAGAAACAGAATTAAGGCGAATCTGGAATTCAAATCCACGACCATAAGTTTTTGTCACGCATAGAGGACGCAACACTTCTCAGCCAACTGCGGCACCTCAGACGATTCGGAACCCGTGTCTCCACATGTCGATCAGAGCCAATAACGAACTTGTTTGTGTGGGATGAAGTAAATGTTTGTAACTTCTGAGAAACCAACAAGCCAGTTCTGAATGACCAAGGATCATAATCGAAATCTCGACGAAAACAACCAATCAGCGGATCCTTGCAAAGCTAATGGTAGGCAACTCTGCAGAGTACATTGTGTCTTCTTTGACTTCTGGATCATCTGCGGCCTCCATAAGTGAAAGAATCACAAGAAACCACACGACGGATGACACCCATGAAGGTCTAGCGATGTATCTTCGTTATATGTTCAAAACAGGCATTTTGTTTTATTATCAGGAGGGAGAACAATGTTTAATCAATAATACAAAAAAGAAAATTCCACATGGCAAATTATGTTTGTGGTCCAAAGGGATCAACAAATATTTTTCTCACTTCTTTTCGGGCCACAAAAGTTATACGTTTTTGAACAACCATGACTCGAGAAGACAAATGGCATTTCCCAGAGGTCAGAATGTTTCTGTAAAAATAATCCTATCACGAGACGCTTTGGTGATTTACATCGTAAGAAGATTTTCTCAGAGATTGAAGTCGAAAATATGGTTGGTATGTTTATTCATTGTCGGTGGTCATAAGATAAGCAGGGGCGGTCGAGTAGCCTAGTGGTTAAAGCGTTCGCTCGTCACGCCGAAGATCCGGGTTCGATTCCCGTGAAGCCCATTTCTGGTGTCCCCCGCCGTGAAATTGCTGGCATATTGCTAAAAGCGGCGTAAAACCATACTCATTCACTCATAAGATAAGCATAAGAAATAAACGTGACTTTCATCTTTTAATGGAACGGAGATAGCAAAGACTGTTTTTTACTTCTAGAGGTACCTGACCGCCTCCGTGGTCTAGTGGTAGAGCCCCGCCCAGAGAGCGGAAGGTCCGGTGTTCGATCCCCGACCGCGTAATACCAAAAGACGTTCAAAGATGCTAGTTTTGTTACCCTGTCTGGCGCTCGGCATTAGGGGGCTAAAACAAGGACTTGTCGGCTCGGAGTCAGTATACTGTATTTGAGTGGGGTATTCATGTCAAACTGCGGCATGGTATCTCAGTAGGCTAGCACTATAAATCGGCATCACTCCGGACCAGTACAAGCAGCCACACACACAAACACGTGCATGCACGTCGCTATATATGTGCAATAATCAATGGACGCGACTTAAACCCCATTTTACCTCATCTCTAGAGACACCTTAGCCAGCATGTCGGCATCTTTAAAAATTAAAAAAACGATATGCAAAACTCTAAATCGTGCAATTACATGAATTAATAAAAAAAACCCACGCTGCTCAGTATATCTATATGTATGTGTATCGTTTTGTCTAACACAAAAGACCATATAAGCGCCAAAGGAACGAAATACCGCACACAAACGCACGCACTACCACCATCAAATGCAATGACCCAAAATGTGAAGCGTTAGACCAAATTCACTCACTCACTAACAGAGTTTGGCTGACTCAGCAAAACATCTCTCATACTCAGCAGTCACACCGCAGCCGATGTCGCATTGTGTCGCCTCGCTCACCTGGGGTAACCGGAAACGCCTTTGACCCGGAACCCCCCACGAGGACGAAGTAACAACCGAGGTATCAAAGACACCACCAATATCCTGAAGCATCATCAACAGCTTTTGTAGTTTTTATTAGCGCTATTGTTAACAGCGGTTGACCTTTACGGCTTACAGCAACGTGTTCCGAATAGGGCCCTACACGTTCCGTTTATTGTGAAAGCTTTATCCTTGGATGCTTGAAGCTTGTGGGCACTCTGAAGGCTATCAGTTACAAGGGTCCATGTGTTAAATCAAGTGGGATTCTTCTTTCACTACTAAATCGAGTTAATTACTGAATACCGACTGTCTGCAGCCGTGCAGGAAGAGTTGGTTGGTTGGTTTGTTGTTAAAAGCGACACTCAGCAATATTCAAGCTATATGACGGCGGTCTGTAAATAATCGAGTCTGGACTAGACAATCCAGAGACTGACATCATGAGCATCGAACCACGCAATTGGGATCGATGACATGCATCAACCAAGTCAGCGAGCCTGACCACCCGATCCCGTTAGTCGCCTCTTACGACAAGCATGGACGCCTTTTACATGGGTTGCTGAAGACCTATTATATCCCGGATCTTCACGGGTCGTGCAGGAAGAGAACACAGATTAGCTTCTGAATGGATAATGACGAATATTCATTTCATGAAGTTTTTCGCTTCTATCACTACCAATGAAGATGCAATGTCCATCATCAACAGCTGATTTCCACACGTTGTCTATTGTCAACAGCAAACGAAGATGCGCACTTTGTCACCAAATACGTACTTAGATAAGCAGTCCATTATCATACACAATAGATGTTTTGCCTGTCATGAAGAGCATTCTTTGTCATGTGTTTGACAAAGGTGTGGCAGAGATGTGTTTATCATAAACAGCATACTAAGATACGTGGCTTATATAAGTATCATTAACAGCATACTTAGACGCGTGGCTTATATAAGTATCATTAACAGCATACTTAGATACGTGGCTTATATAAGTATCATTAACAGCATACCTAGATACGTGGCTTATATAAGTATCATTAACAGCATACTTAGATGCGTGGCTTGTATCATTATCATTTACAGCATACTTAGATGCGTGGCTTGTATAAGTATCATTAACAGCATACTTAGATACGTGGCTTATATAAGTATCATTAACAACATACTTAGATACGTGGCTTATATAAGTATCATTAACAGCATACTTAGATACGTGGCTTATATAATTATCAATAACAGCATACTTAGATGCGTGGCTTGTATAATTATCATTAAAAACATACTTAGATGCGTGGCTTGTATTATTATCATTAACAGCATACTTAGATACGTGGCTTGTATAATTATCATTAACAGCATACTTAGATACGTGGCTTATATAATTATCATTAACAGCATACTAAGATACGTGGCTTATATAAGTATCATTAACAGCATACTTAGACGCGTGGCTTATATAAGTATCATTAACAGCATACTTAGATACGTGGCTTATATAAGTATCATTAACAGCATACCTAGATACGTGGCTAGCATAAGTATCATTAACAGCATTATTAGATGCGTGGCTTGTATCATTATCATTAACAGCATACTTAGATGCGTGGCTTGTATAATTATCATTAACAGCTTACTTAGATGCGTGGCTTATCATCAACAGCACAATCAGATTCGTGACTTATTGATTTCTTGACTTAATGACTAGCCTTTGCGTGTGTTTGTTAAGGATGACATTGCTGGTGCAGGATACGCTCACCTTTTCGCGAACACCTGGTACCATCACCATTTCATAGTGATTAATAAACACATGCTCATAAAATAGACGGAATCGTAAATCGACTATGACGGAGATTTCTGATGAATATGGAAATGGTTTTGTCGCGTTTATTTATTGCACTGTTCCACGAGGTCATCTGTGAAAGGAGGTGGCGTTTCTTAAAGGATATGTCTGTCTGTTGTTTTTTGGAAATGAATTACGTGATTGAGAGATCCACGCCAATGTCTGGCGCTTCATGGCATTAAATCTTCAGCCTTGGGGCATTTCAGGGGAAGCACTTCGGGTTAAAACAGCAAAAATGGAAATATTGGAAACGTTGGAATTTCAACACACGGTAGGATGGTCTATCGCCTAATGTGAAATCCCAACCTATACACTGTGGGATAGCTTCTTTCAATAGCCCGGATAACTGGTAGTGAATATGCATTGATTAAGAAAATATGACTGATAATATCCTCTTGGGGGAATATTGACCGTCCTGTGGAATATGGACTATTCTGACTATCGGTTTGGTCTCGCATATCTTGAGGGTGATGCAAATGAACTTTATTTGACCTGCGGATTAATGTATGCTTTAGCATGCATGGCTATTAATTTGGAATTAATAATATGCCAGTTTCCTGGAAAGACGCAATTAATACCCGCTGCCAGTATTGATGGTCAGCGTCTGAGACATTAGTACAGGTCGTCCTTGTATAAGACAGTCCGGCACGGTTACGGGGAAGGAATTAGACCATACATCAGACCGAATCTTCTAACCGAATTGGCATCACAGGAGCATGATGAGCTAGCGTTACTAATATAAATGGTCCATAATTGCGGCACTGTTGAGGGCACATTGGACAATGATTCCAGGATCATACCAGCTCGAGCTCCCTGCAGCGATCTTGTCAATATTTCTCAACTACTTAAAATTTCTATTGATCTGCAATTCTGCTAATGGAATTGGTGTGTTATTGATAAAACCAATACAGAAGTTCGCGACAGGATCATCACGAATAAGGACA